AAGAAAAATTGCATCTGGGATCTTAAAGGCTGTCTCAAAACAAGCAGCCATCAAAGCGAGGAACCAGATAAATCCACAAAGCAGCAGCACACCAGCCTGTGTGACCCAAGGATTGTAATTAATAAGATCCAAACCCAGAGGAGGGAATGGTACCAGAGCCTAAATTCTAAACACCTGATTTGTGGAATGCTATGGATGATAGTGGAGGTCCCAAATCCATGTGCAGGGGGTTCAGGTGGATTGACTCCCTAATGAATCCCCATTGAACATAGTTTAGGAGTGTCAACATCCCTAATATCAGACAAAGCACTGTCAAAGGGCCTTTAGTAGATGTACTTAACCTGGTGCTGGAAAAGAAGTTCCATGGACTGCTAATAGGACAAAACAATCTGTGTTGTCAGAAGTGCGGCCAAAGAGTTCCTTAGAGACAAGGATGGTGAGACTTCGTCTTACACACTTTGGACATGTCAGGAGTGACCAGTCCCTGGAGAAGGACATCATGTTTAAGAAGAGGGGCAGCAAAAAAGAGGAATGCCCTCAAAGAGATGGACTGACATCATGTCTACAACAATGGGCTCAGGCATAGAAAGAATTGTGAGGGTGGTGCAAGATTGGGCAGTGGTTCGTTCTGTTACGCATAAGGTCACCGTGGGTCGGAACCGACTCGATAGCACCTAACAACCACAACTTATTCCTTTTGCACTAATTTTGAATTTACTCTAATTTTTCAATATTCCCTGCTTTAAGATTGAGATTTTTCTCGGTTTTATATGGTCTCATTGTTGTTGATTCTTTTGGGATTTTTGTCTTTGTTTAGTATGTTTTTGTGTATAGAAAAGCCAGGATGGGTGGAACTCTGAAGATAGCAATCTGGGGGCATGGAAGTTGTGGGGAGATGGGGAGTCACTAGCAATGGGTACAAGAAGGAAGAAAATGCTCCAAAGTTGATTGCGGTGATAATTGCACAATCTTTCTTAATATGATTGAACTATTAAATTTTACCACATGTTAATTACAGCACAATCAAACTATTGAACAAAAAAAGCTATGAAGGATGGAAGCATGACTCACGTCTGCCTCTTATAATCAGCCTTAGAAGCTGGAAGAGGTCAGGTGCCTGGAGCTTCCATGCCCCATATGTGAAAATACGTGTTTAAGGAGGAAATATTTAGTTGCGGCCTTTCTGACTAAAGAAGAGCTTATTCACATTTTAAACAACAAATGAAAGTAGGTATTAAATGGCTATGACTGTCACTGGATAGTAATGTTAAAATGCTAACATTTTAAGGATGTCAAAAATTATATCCTTTGTAACTACTTAAGCTTAAAGTTTTTTAAGCTTAGAAGTCCATTAAAAAGTTTGTGAGATGGAAGAAGCATGCCAGCCTGTGTGATCACAAGGTATGGATAGGATCAGGTATCAGGGATCAAAGAACAAAAAATCATATCATTGTGAATGAGGGGGAGTGCGGAGTGGGGACCCAAAGCCCATCTGTAGGCAACTGGACATCCCCTTACAGAAGGGTTATGGGGAGGAGACTAGCCAGTCAGGGTGTAGTATAGCACTGATGAAACATATACCTTTCCTCTAGTTCTTTAATGCTTCCTCCCCCACACTATCATGACTATCATGATCCCAGTTCTCCCTTAAAAATCCAGCTAGACCAGAGGATGTACATGGGTACAGAGCAAAGCTGGAAACACAGGGAATCCAGAACTGATAAACCCCTCAGGACCAATAATGAGAGTAGAGATACCAGGAGGCTAAGGGGAAGGTGGGTAGAGAAAAGGGGAACCAATCACAATGATCTACATATAATCCTCTCCTTGGAGGACAGACAACAGAAAAGTGGGTGAAGGGAGACAGTATAAGACTTGAAAAAATAATTTACAAATTATCAAGGGTTCATGAGGGAGGGAGGGGAAAATATGAGGCGCTGATACCAAGGGCTCAAGTAAAAAGAAAATCTTTTGAGAAGGATGATGGCAACAAGTTATGTATGGATTGTGATGAGTTGTACGAGGTCCCAATACAATTAAAAAAACCAACTTGTGAGACAGGACATAATGAGTTTATATACTTTGATGATGTGAGGACTAATTAATAATGTACTTAGTACTGTACCCAGCACATAGTAAATGCTAGGTAATCAATTAGCTATCATCCTTGGAACAATCCATATATTTAAAAAAATCATTTTATTGGGGCTCATACAACTCTTATCACAATCCACACATACATCTATTGTGTAAAGCATACTTATACATTCCTTGCCCTCATCATTCTCAAAATTCGCTTTCCGCTTGGGTTCCTAGAATCAGCTCATTTTCCTGTTTTCCCCTCCCTCTCCCTCCCCCTCCCCACTCCCTCATGAACCCTTAATAATTTCTAAATTATTTTTTTATCTTATCTTACACTGCCCGGAGTATCCCTTCACCCACTTTTCTGTTGCCCATCTCCCGCAATAAAATATTTAAGGTCAGAAAATTTAGGTAGATTTTCCAAAATCACATAGTCGTCAAGTATCTGTTAGAATGGATTGTTATTTGATATCAAATCCTGTGTTCCACCTGCTAAACTAAGGTCTCATAGACCCACATTTACCAAACCCAGTTTCAAGCTGAGACAAAAAATGCTGATGTTTTTACGCATAAAATTGAAAGTATTGGAAAGTGCATACTCATGAAACGGTCATATTAAGGAAATTAAAACAAGCTAGCCATCCATGTATTTTTTACTATCCAGAATATCCTTTGGTTTCCTCCTGTCTTGATCTATTTTTGAAACTTTGTAATACTACTAGCTATAGAAATAAGAAAATGATGCTCAGAAGGAATAAAGGCTATTTTGGGTGAATTTTTCACACTCTGAATACTAAGTGCAAAACCGCCGTTCTTGTGACAACTGCATGAATTGCAAAAGGAAGTCAGTTATAGAAAGGATCTGACCAAGTTCTAAACTAATGATGGTAACCTTTGTGCAATGTTTTTGTTTACTATGTCAGTTCGCACATTATTCCCTAGAAGACAAGGTAATAACAAAAGCCAAGGAAAAATACAATTTAAAAAAGTTTAACTGTTCCAAATTCCCAAACGTACAATTGTCATCCTTCCTTCCCTAAAGCCATACTTATCAGGGATTTATTCAAATATTTGCTTATTCCTAACTCTCTAAGTTCCTGGAAAACAATGCATAAGGAATCCTTCCTGGCACTGAGAGAGAGACCTTAACTCTTTTGCAGCAACTTTGGTCAGTGCAAGGCTACATCCAGTACAAGTACTTCCAGAAGCTTTTAAAAAGAAGGAATTTTTGTACTCAGTACTTCAACCTAACATAATTTATTTAATTTCCTAGTGAAGAGGAAGCTGTGAGGTAAAATGCAATAAATGGAGAACTATGAATGCTTTATATAGCATTAGCCATGTAGATAAAATAATCTGTCTGTCTGCTAATATATTTATAAATCATCAAAATTTAATATTAGGCAGAAGACTATGTGATAAATGACATTCTTTCCTGTTCACTTATATTATGATTTTGCTATAAACAAATATCTAGTTTAAATATCTTCTATAATCTGTAGGTTAGTATGACAAATATTTGATAATGAGCATACTGAATACATTATTCATGCAAATTATACACAACCAAGTTAAAGGCAGAATATAAATACTTAGCTAGTAGGCTTCATAGATGGCCACACATTCCCATATTGTTTAATTAATGTGAAATGCCCCTTTAATAACAACAGGAAGATTCACTCAGTCTTATGAGATAACTGACAAGTATGGACATACTAATGTTTACAGTATAGATGAAAAACAAATCTTGACACATATCTTCATGAACCATGCTCATCTTATGCAGCAAAACATATTTTAAAAGCTATATATAATATTCCTAAAATGCACAATATAGGAAAAATCTCTAATTTAGGGGAAAAAGTAATTAAAACTAGGTAGACATATTATTAATGTTCAAGTTGCAATTACACTTTCAACTACAGCATTTTGAGAAAATAATGTGGCATTCATTTATGAAGTATACCTTCTAACAGCTCTAGCTAAATTATTGGCACCGTAAATTGTGTCTGGTATTGTATGTTAAATCTGGATTTAAGTATTTCACTTACTGGACTATTTCTTAAATCTGATCTGAGTCCGCTATCAAAGAAGCCCCTCAAACTTTGGGAGCATGTGCTTTTAGTGCTCTCGAGGCAAGTTTCCTTGTCAATTGCAATTTGACATCATGTTGCCCTTTTTCAATCAGAAATTTACAAGTAATGTTTTTGAGTCTCTGATTTGGTGTGATGTGTTCACTCACTTATTTATGGTTTTAGTTTGATTTATAGATACTAGGATGGTTGCCTATTTGCATTTCTTCTTTTTGTCCTATGAGTAGTTCAATGTAGGCTATGAAGGAATACTGAAACTAAAAACGGTTAGATGCGTATTTCTTAAAGTTTGATCAAAGATTTATAAGTGATTGAATCATCATGAAAACACTTAACTTTAAAATTATCTACAGTTTATATTTGTCATCCTTCTTGAATAAAAAACCCGTCACATGTGAATCTGTAGATTTATACTGCAAAGAATCTAAGCTTGTAATGTTTAACTCCGTATGCCTACGCAACTCACTGCCAGCAAGTCCACTGTAACTCACAGTGACTCTACAGGCTGGAGTGGAACTGCCCCTCTGGGTTTCCAGTTTTATGGGAGTAGAAAGCCTTGCCTTACCTCCCACGGAGAGGCTGGTTGTTTCAAACTACTGACCTTGTGGTTAGCAGCCCGACTTAACCAGTGTTTCAAACTACTGACCTTGTGGTTAGCAGCCCGACTTAACCACTACGCCAGCAAGGCTCTTCTCATATGCCTAAACACTTTATATATTCAAGGAGGAGGAAGGAGACTAATCTGACTCACAGTGGGAAAGCCAGTGTCACAAGACACCTTATTGAAAGACTGTAGCAAGAAAGATGGCAAGAGGGTCTACGTACCTGCACATCCAGCTTCATCTGTCTGAGCTTCAGGCCCCAGGGTTTCCTGTCCTTCCTTTCCTGCTGAAAGACATTTCAAAAGAGGGGTTAATGTAAACACACATGTCACAGAGGTGGCAGGGGCAAGGGACAGACGCTTAAACTTTATCAATATCAATAGAATAATGAGTAGTGCAAAACATTATTTAGTGTCTTAGGTTAAGGGTTAATATGCTTGGCTTCTAACGGAAAGGTTGGAGGTTGGAGTCCACCCAGAGACACCTCATAGAAAAGACCTGGCAGCCTACTTAAAGGAAAAAGGTCACAGGAAATCCTAAGGAACACCATCCTACTCTCCTGACACATGGGGTGGGGGCTACCTAGACAGCAAGCTTCTTTTTTAGAATACAAAATAAACTCAGAGTTAATACTTTGTCATATAAATATATTTTGGAAACAGCAAGTATGCTCTATATAATCGAGCACATTTTCTTGACTATAGTGGTTTCTTGACCACACTACGAACACGTGCATCTGTGAAAGACATTAGACCCACTGTCACCAACTCAATGAGGACTCATGAAACCAAACTCACTGCTACCGAGTCCACTCTGATGGGTGTGACAGTAAATCCTGCGGCTGTAACGCTTTACAGGAGGAGCAGGCAGCCCCAACTTTCTCCCCAGGAGCAGCTGGTGGTTGGGTCTGCAGCACTGCCAGGGCTCCTTGTGAAAGACTTTAAAGAGTTAATAAAAAGCTACTCTTTTTCAACTAGTAGCCAAGTACATATCATAATTACAATCAGAATACTTATAAAGTCATAATAAATACAGTATAGTTATCTGCACCCCAATCAAATTCCATTAAATATGCCAGTCAAAAATCTTGATTTAGAATTCTCCTAAGTTTGATTGTTGGATTGAGAAACAGCATTAATCAAGTGCAGTCTTTGCACTGAGTTAAAGCATGCATTTCTCCACACTTCTTGGATAACCAGGCAAGTTTATTCAGCAGATTTTCTCTACTCATTAATTTTATGAGTACTTAAAGATTCACTATATGAAAAACAGTTAAAATACACACATATCCTTTTAGATCAACAGGAAAACATTGTCTACAGTTTATTGGAGTTTAACTTATACTGAAGAACCTGATTTTATACCTGCCATCAGAAAAATGACAATTTTAAAAACCTTGGTAAAATGTTTATAGAATGGTAGGATAAACAAGTGTTTTCCAAGTGACTACGAATCTCTTAACAGCCTTTGTGGATTTTGGGGTGGGGCTTGCACCCTACAATGCATCTGTTTATATTAAAATAACAAACAATTATAAGAGGAGCCTTCAAAAAGTTCATGGAAAATAGAATTTAAAAGATACTGGGTTTTGTGAAGCCCCCTTGTATGATGGTAATATAACTATTAATTGTATATCTATGGTCTTTATTTCTCCTCAAATGAAAATCAAAGTGGGAAGATGCACATCTTGCTATGATGACACTGATATTAAAATAACACTTTGGGTCTTAGAAACTTTTTCTACTTGTATTTAACTGACAAACTATGTGCAGTTCAATTAAGCGGACGGTGACTGATTTCCTCATTTCTCAGTTGGTGTAGTGTTTACGAGCTGGGCCGCACTCTGCACAGTCAGCGGTGTGAAACCACCAGCAGCTCCTAGGAAGAAAGACGGGATCTTCTCCTCCCGTCAACAATCAGTGTCGGATCCCACGAGCTGCCAGGAGTCAGCACTGACTCAATGGCAGTGAGGGTGGTATTTTTGGTTTTCCTTACGGTTTACAATAAAATCTAGCCCCCTTATATCACAGAACTTAAAAACTAGAAGTCTCATTCTTCCCCTCATTTTTAGGTCAGAATAAAAAATGAACATTTTAAATAAGATTGACTAATAAAACCAGGGGTGTGCTAATGTTGTAAGTTGCATACTCCTACTGCAAAAAAAGTGCTGCCCAGGAACAGGTTATTTCCTGCTGCTTATTTGGATTAGTATCGGGGAAATAGAGAAATCAAAGCTGTTCTAATACTTTTCGAGGGATATTTACCTTTCTTGGGTTCTTATATGGGAATATGTAGTAGACTCTACTTATATATTAGATTTTTATTTCCTGTAGGATTTGTTAATTCCACTACCTTAGGATGATTAACCTAAATGTAGTTAGGAAGGAGTATTAGAATTTTCTGAGTGCTTTCATTTTTAATCGAATTCTAAAGCGAATATCTAAGTCATAAAGGTTCCTAAGAGCTGTCCTTTTCTTTTTCAGGCAAAGGTGAACTAGTCGTAGACTAACCACTCAGCAATAAAGGAACCAACTGCAGACAGAGGCCAGCGCGGCTGATAAAGCAGAAACGCGATGGAAACGGGAAGGCCCTCACCAGATGCATTGACACGGTGAGTGCAGTAACGGCTCAAGTGTAAGAGCAATCACGTGATACTTCATTCTTTTGTACATAGGGTTACTACGGTCAGAACTGATTCGAGAGCGCCTAACAACAACATATACACTCAACAAGTTAGACGAATCTTCAGATAATATGATGAGTGATAAAAGCTAATCCAAAAGTTTATACAAAGGATGAATTTATAGAATTTTCTCGAAAAAACAAATTTATCAAAATGGACAACAGGTTAATGGTTGACGGATTCGAGATGAGCTAGGAGGCAGGATAGAACAATAAATAAGGCCTCTTGTGATTAAGACTGTCTTGACTACAGCAATGCCAATATCTGGTGATAATAATAGTTTGGCAAGATGCTGCCATTTGGAAAGAATAGACAAAAGTTGTTTGTGTGGGTGTGTGTGTACACCCAGCAGGATGACAATCATAATCACTCACAACTGGTATTATATAATCCAATCTGTACCTTCCTGTGCTCTTGCCTGGACTCACCAGGAAAATGAAGCTCCTGTGGTGGTAGTAACAAAGGCTATGGCTAGAAGAGCCATATTAAATACTTTGCTGCATTTCAGCAATGCTATAGATAATTTGTTGTGATCCATGTACTATAATAGCTTGGTATTGTCAAGAAAACACAGGTAAACACTTTGCTGGTATTAGTCTCTGCTTTGAGCAAAGACCCCAACATCAGCAATGACAGCCATCATTTTTGTCCTCTTCTGGGTCTGATTTGAATTTCTGGAAAATCCCTGTTGATGTATGGATGCAAATATTTAAAAATTATTTTTAGCAAAACTTTACTTGAATGTGGTGTTAATGCTATCACTTGATAATTTTTGCATTCTACTGGATATAACCATACTTTGGAATAAGCACAGATATGGATCTCTTCCAGGTAGTTGGTCAGGTAGCTTTCTTTAAAATTTCTTGGCATAGATGACTGAGCATCTCCAGTGGTGCACGAGTTATTGGAACTTTGTGTTTAACCAATGCCTCCTGCTCCATATCATCAATCCTTAATCATATGCTACTGCATAAACGGTTCAATGTCGACCAGTTCTTTTTGATACAGTGACTGTGTATTCCTTCTATCTTTATGTGATGCTTCCTGTACCATTCAGTATTTTCAGCTTGAAAAATGCCAGGCATGCTTTTCCTTTTTCATTATCTAATTTTGGGCCTTTCCACATTTCACTATAATACTAACTTTGTCTTCTCAAGCTGCCCTTTGTAATCTGTTCCAACTCTTTACTTCAGTATTTCTTCCTTTCACTTTATCTACACTATGTTCTGTATCAAGTTTCTGAATCCCCCTTGACATTCATTTTGATCTTTTATTTCTACCCTCTTTTTAATGGACATTTTGCATCACAACAACACACAACTCACAGTAAGATAAACAGGCAGATGAGCAGTGCTTAAATCATCTGGGGATTGATTGATTACTTATAATACCTAATACAGAGTAATGCTAAGTATGTAAATAGCACTTGATGCTCCTTTTCAGAAGGAGAGTTTGACCATTTGATTGCTTTTCATTCTCCTTAATACTTTTGATACATAGTTGAATCTGTGGGTGTGGAACGGTGCATATGGAAAGTTGACTGTAGTTTCAAAAATACAGAGTAAGGGATATGTAGGCCAAGGAAAAATGACCAATATTCCTGTTACTCAAGTGTCAGAAGGAGGACAAGAAAAAGAGTTTTTTGTCCAAAAACTTCCCAAATCTAGCAAAAATGTCTAACATTCCGGTGTCAGTAGTGTCTGGTAGAAAAGAAGAAAAAGGAAAGTCTTTCAAAACTTCCAAAATTTAGCAAAAGGTATAAACCAGTAGATTTTAAAGGTTTAGTGAACCTCAAACAGGATAATCCTCCAAAATTCTAGGTCCAGACTTATCACACTCAAACTAAGAAACTAATGTATCAATTGTTTCTGACATATTAGTACATATATTGCCATCGTTCTTTTCTAGACGTTTACTTTCCATTGAGCGATTGGGATCAGCTCCTCTTCCCCCCCCCCCCACCCTCGTGGCCGCTTGATAGATTATAGATTGTTATTATTTTCATATCGCACATCGACCACTGTCTCCCTTCCCCTCTGGTTTCCGTTGTTCTTCCCCCGGATGGAGGTGTGTGGTTATGTGCCATTCACTGCGATCAGTACCCCCTACCCTTTTGGATGTATGGATTGTAACAAGAGCTTTAAGAGCCCCAATAAAATGATCTAACTTTAAATAAATAAATAAAACTTTGGGTTAAAAAAAATACTAAGCTTTATTGAGTAGGCATTATTTAGCATTAACTTTTTGTTGTATCTTTAAAATTATGTCATATTGTAAAGAAAAATGTTAAAAAAGAAACTAATATATCTGTAAATAATATGTACACTTACACATATATATTTGTACATATTTATAAGTTAGAGAAAGGGAACAATGATTTACATTTAAATGAGAACAGATTTATCATCAGAAACCACAGGTTCTGTAAGGAAATGAAGCAACATTCTTTTGAATGCTGAAATAAAATAATTGTCACCTCAAAATTCTATATCCAGTAAAACTATCCTGCATAAACCAAGGTAAAATGATGATAACCTCATATGACAGAAAACTAATACAGTTCATGGTCTGAAAATCCACCAGGAAATAATTGCTGAAGGAAG